CGACTGCTCTGATGAACTGCATGGTTGTAGGGTGGCTGAATCCTCACGCAGGTGAGCTACTTGCTCTTTGCAGGCACCACCTAGGAAATAACCACTTACGACATTCTCTATTCCATTTTATCCTGCCCAGGGGGTTGTATTTCACATTCTGCCCCTTTTTACCTTTACGGCCAGTTCAGGCCCAGATGCAACACAATGTTGATTCCCGGGTAAGCAAGCGCCCTCTAAACAGCAGGTGCCCCATTTGACCTGTCCCTGAACCAGATGACCATTTATCTGATTTAAGCTTATGGTATGGGACACTTTCAGAATAAAATCCAGGAGTCTCATAAGACCGTGTGAGCTACTCCCCTCTGAGCCTATGACAGAAAGGGCAGCTTTTAGCATAGTCGGTGGCCTCTAACTGGCTCTTGGTTGCACCGTGAAGTGTGTGCTGTGTTCGCTCCCTCTCACACCTTGATCTCTTGGTCTAGACAGGAAGGGGCTCTCTACGGAAGCTCTCCATGGATGATGTTGACCCTTGTCCTCTGCAACGAACCGTGAGCACGGAGTGTTCCAGCCACAGGGAGGGTGACAACGCAGCTGGATGCCTGGTGAGGAAGGCTCATCCAGTGGCGCATCCTTAGCCTTCAGGATATATATTTAATTGTGGCCTTTTGTTAACACAACCAGTGTTAAAAATGTGTTCAAAGGTGACATTTTTCTACTCCTATATACTAGTTCTATTTAAGTGGCTGCGGAACAGTCCATTGTGTTGAAAGCGCGGGAAACATTGCATTGAAAGCTTGGGCTTGAGCCACCGTGTGATACAGAGTGTTGGACTGGATGGGCCATTGGCCTGACCCAACATGGCTTCTCTTACATTCGTATGAAATATTTCATATTTGTAACAAGATGGCCTTCTTTTGCCAATGGACGCAGGAGCAGGCCTAGCCATTCCCAAGTGGCAGTTGTCGAATGCTAAAGACGTGAGCATTCTGTAAAAGAGACTGCCGGATGTGGACCAAGGGTCTGTTGAAGGTTAAGAGGTGGCCCTGGGACTGTATCCTCAAATGCACCTGGGAACTTTGTACTTTAATCTGCAAACTGGATAAATGAACTGGGGGGAAGGGTACCAGTCTGGATCACTTGTGAATGTTCAACAATCTGCTTGCTGAGGACGACCCCTTGGAATGTTTTATTGTTTTACTGCCTGCCTTTTCTCTTTTCAAGGGGGACCCCGGAAACCCTATCATGTGCCAAGCAAAGGAAACTGGCCACTGGGTGCTGAAAGGAGTGCTGACTGAAGGTGGCCCCAGATGTTATGGGCCATTCCTCTACACCAGGCTGTCCTATTACAGCGACTGGATTGTGACCTCCACGGCAAAAGGAGGAGCTCCCCTCTTTCCCACCCTAGGCAGGAGGCCTTTTGCCATCTGGACTCCGACGGAGGAGCCAAGAGGGACACCAGAACCCATTCTAGCCAGTAGAGTTCTCAACTTCTCGGATGCTTCATTTGATCTCCCTCTCAGTCCTGATGCAGAGTTACAACAATGGAACACAGAAGGGTTTTTAAATGGCTCAGCCAGGTCACATGGCAGGTCTGATCCAATCTACTATGATTATTACAATGGGGAGATGCTCCCCATTTCCACTGCAAGGAGAGGTCAGCCTCAGGGACTCATTACTGCAAGCCTCCTCCTCCTCCTTCTTCTGACTTGCTCGATAACTGCTTAAGTGGGTGGCTTAAGATTTAAGTGGAGGTTTTGCACCAAGGAACTCTCCCATCTGCACTGCCAAGACTAATGCTCTGTGGTGCTGGTCCGTCTCTTTAGCTGGAAAGTTCTTTTGAACCATTAAACTTGCCATCCTTTGATCCACTTGGTGTGAAATGACTCCAAAGTAGAAAACCCACTGTGTATAACATAGCCAGGTGTTAACTATAAAAATCACTCGTCACACGGAGTACAGAAAAGGAAAGGGAAGCATCGCAGTGGCAGGAGGCTTGGGAAGCAGGTGCCTCGCCAGGAAGAGGGCAAAACGAAGAGGCCAGGGAAATGCAAGCGGTGCCACGGGGCTCTTCCCTGCCCATCTTAGTGTCAGTGAGCTGCTTGTTCTGGGAGGAGAGCCTGCAGCTGACGACTGGCCATCTTCGCCTTCTGCCAAACGCTACGGTAGCTCTGCAAGGCCATCTGTAGGACACGAGAGGTGAAAGATGAAGGCAGAATCCATTGGACAGGAATCTCAGCCAACATTCGTAATTAATTAGTTAACTGACTGATTATTTACTTTGTTTATACCTTGCCTTTCTCCCCGATGGGAATGAGGAGCAGATTACAATGCTCTCCTCTCCTCTGTTTTCCCTTCACAACAAACACACTGTGAGGGAAGTTAGGCTGAGAGTGTGTGAGACTGGCCCAAGGTCACCCAGCAAACTTCCATGGTAGAGCAGGGATTCAGACATGGGTCTCCCAGATCCTACTCTGATACTCCGGCCACTGCACCACACTGGCTTGCAATGGCTAATTGAGGCCTGTCATCAACAGAACATCACTGGTGGTCCAAGTATGGCACTTCTCAGGAACACAGCCTGTCCCAGAAGACAATCCATGGGGGGGGAAGGAAGCACCTCTCCTTCCACACCTGCAGTCCTGGAATTGCTTTGCAGATGTACACTCAATGTAGAAACCCACTCCAATCTAGGCAATTGTGATCAGGTTGCTTTTTTCCTCCCATGTGGCTCAGAAAGTCTTAAGACCTCACACAGCTCAGCAGCAGGAGCCAAAATCACCTGAACCGCAGACAGCAAAGACCAGGGCCTGGGCTTCTGTCTCAACTAAGGCATTAGGGGCTTTCTCTGCAATGCTGACCATGCAAGCCTGCCTTCAGAACTGCCCTGGCAGAACAGCCTATGTCTATCTGGGGCTTTTGTTCCACATTATTCTTCCTTTGTCAGTGCTGGGTCTGCCTCCATCCTCAGTTCTCAAAGAAGAAACCACAATTGGGTTGAATGCAGCGGGATCACAGCATTATTGGCTGCCACAGTGGGAAGTCCCAAGAACTTCAGAACCCCCCCCCCGTTAATGTACTGGAACACTCAGTGGTGTTCCTAAAGGGTTTACTTTTCTTTCCTTGTTCCCCCCTTCTTTTCTGTTAAAAATACCTCCAAGGCAGCTTACAAATTAAACTGAGAACAGAAGTAATACCATTAAGGCAAACTAAAAATGCCAAAATAGTAAAAAGCATAAATAGGGGATACAGTCTAAATTCGATATTATTGCAAGAATGGGTAAGCAGGATGGATGTGGTGGTGGACCATGCCATCAAGTCACAGCTGACTTATGGTAATCCTGTGGGGGTTTTCAATCAAAAGGGGGGGGGGGGTTTGCCATTGCCTGTTTCCATGTAACAAACCTGAACTTCCTTAGTGGTCTCCCAGTCAAGTACTAATTGGGGCCGACACTGCTTAGATTCTGAGATCTGATTAGACCAGGCTAGTCTGGGCCATCCATGTCAGGGCAGGATGGATGTAGCCTGGTATTTACAGTATAGTAAAGAAGCCAAGCCCTCCTGACCTGGATGGCACAGGATAGCCTGGTCTCATCAGATCTCGGAGACTAAGCAAGGTAAGCCCTGGCTAGTACGTGTGTGGGAGACCACCAAGGAAGTCTAGGGTTGCTACACGGTGTCAGGCAATGGCAAACTGTCTCTGTTCATCTCTTGCGTTGAAAACCCCACTGGGTCGCCATGAGCCAGCTGAGATTTGACAGAACTTTCCCCTAAAGAAGCCAAGCAAACATGTCTGGGGAGGATCTGCATGATATGGAAACCATCACTGAAAAGGCCCTCTTCTCTGGTGCTGGCAGGATCAGCCAGAGAAGAGCCTCAGATATTGACAGGCAGGTTAACATGGGACGAGGCGGGCCTGTTCATAGATCAAAACCATCACATCAAATTTTGTATGGAAGCCAGGGAGAGATGGCACTACTACATTCTTTCATAATCATAAAAAGGGAAGGAACTGGGATCTGCCAAAGACAACAGTGGGGGAGTTCTTGGGTGACAACCACCACCTGAGGCAGGGGTGTTGCTTCTGTTCACTGCCCTACTACTTAAATCATAGCAACACACACTACACCCGCATTGACTCCACTTGTGATCCCATGCACATATTTTTTTCCCAACCAGGAATTTTGCCCCTCCACAACTATCAGCACGACAACACTCAGTTTCACTGGAGATCAGTACCAGAGACAGAATGGAGGCATAGTAATGTTGTGGTGAGCTGTGGTTTGGATATGCTTCTGACAGCCAATGGCCTAGCAGCTGGATACCCATACCTGTGCGATTTCCACCTTCCTCTCCCAAATCTTGATGGTATTTTCCAGCTCATGGACTGCTATCTTCTCATGGACATAATCGAGGACGGGAGGCACTTTGTAGTATGCTAGCTGTTTCCTCAGTCTTTTATTTAAGATCTCCGCCTTGTTCCGCTCCTGAAAGAGAAAGAGAATGGCTTGGGCATGAAGCCCTTGCTTTGGTTTCAAAATTTTAACAGGTCTGCATTTGTAACGTACACCAAATTTTAACAAGTGGTGCGGGGTTGTGGGGTGTGTGTGAAGCAGAAGCACCACATCACTTTTACAGCAAACATAAAACTGACGGCTATCTAATAAAAGTTTGACTTATAGTGGGTCCATTTCTTGGGTGAAAGAGCCTATAGCTGAAGAATGGCCTCCTTGAGCTTGTGCTCAACCCTGCAGCCTGTTGTCCCCTGACTAGTAACCCAGCCTGTGCTCAAGGTGTGGAAAGAGGTCGCTACTTGTTCAGAATGCACAACCCTAATGAGACAAATGGGCACCTACTCCCTCTGCTGATCTTTCCCCAAAGGAGTTTCTGTCTTTTACCTCCCAATTCCTTCTTGGGCTGAAACCATTTTACACTGATCTTTTTGAAAATATGATGAATAGGAAAATTAGTGCATTCCAAATCTAACATATTAATTCCCTGATGAGGCCAGTAAACAAGCAGAGTTCTTTCTAAGCGATGCCAAGGGTTCATTTTACCATACTGGTTTTTCTACTAGAACATATTTGATTTATATTCTGACCAAGTAAGGGCCAGATAAATGATTGGAAATAGCAAAACACACTGAGCCAGTTAACTGGATGCTAATCATGCCTGCATAACTGTAATCCTCATATATTTCTTTATTTAAAATGTTTATATCCCAACTTATCGCCTCAGACTCAAGGGAGCTAACTCAATGCAATACCTGGTTTCAAGGACACAAAACAAAACAGTTCAGTTACACTGAATGAAATGCACAGATTACAGATTTAAAAGCTCAGAGTTAAAATAAACACAGTAACAAAATCACGCAGAATCAAGAACACACAAAATGAAAAAGAACGCAGCCAAATCTGCCAAAACAGCTTACCCTCCGACCAGATGCTTTCTGGAGTAAACAGTCTAACATGCTTTCCTAAATGAAGGGAAGGGAAGGCCATTCCAAAAGGCTGGATGCACCACAGGAAAGCCTGTGGCCTGACTGCTGCCGTGCAAACAGTCCTAAGGGAGGTCTCCACAAGGAGAAGAACAGTGCCGGTGGCATCTGGAAGCAGAACCTCATGAAGCCAATAGTGCTGCTACTGTAAACCCATCGAAGACTGAGCTGGAAGCAAGAACTGGCCAAGAAGCCAATCTTGCTCTGGGCACCTCTTTCTGGACTTTAAATGTAGGGCTCACTTCAGAGAGATCCCCAGAAATCCGAGGCCTGGCTTGACATCACCTGTGCCTGCCTTTGTTCCTACCTGCTCAACAACAATGAATTCTCGCTCAATTTTTTCCAGGGACTCCTTTCTCTGAGTGATGTCTCTCACCAATCGGGTGGCCATCGCCATTGTGGTCTGTAGCTTCCTCTGAAATACAACGACATGGTCCAGACAGAATTCAGCAGAAGGGATCATTCAGGTTGCATCCCCTTTCCATCACCATTCAGATTAATTTTGCTCATGGGAGTGCTGACTAGCCATACATCTCGTGGCTAGTGAGCAGAAGCAGCTGGAAAGCTAAGCGAGAGGTGCCCAGCCCAGCCTGAGACACCAAATCCCTACTGAACTTTTGTCCAGGCTCTGAAACTTATTCGAGACCCATCAGAGTTGCTTTTCGGCTTCATTTTAGTTTTTGTTCGGAAGTTCCAGACACTGAACCAGAGAAGCCAACATAAACGAGGTGTTGTACAAAATCCCTTCTGAGAATGAGAACGGAAAGGTGGCAAGACCCCAAGGGATCTTTGCTGAGCCCTTCTTGGAAATCAAAGATGGCCCCAGATTTCTGCTCATGCACGGTGCTTTTGTCAGTAGAACAGAATGTTTCTGCCTCCCCCACCTCCCACCGCAGCCCAAGGACCTCTCTGAAATGCTTCTCCTTGGGAATAGCATGAGATACAAATCGGCAGAAGGAAGGGAGAATTTGTGGAAATCCCTCCCTTCCATTAGCAGAAAATTTAGTCTGGATCCAAACCAAGGTGTGGAGATGTCCTGGCAGGGATGTACAATGCAGAGGTTGGGACAGAGCAGGAGGTAGGAGATGCAGGTAGGGAATCCTTAGTAAGGCAACAGGGAGCAGAAGGAAGCCGAAAGTCAATAGAACCAGCCAGCTGGAGATCGAGATAAGAATCAAAATGGCTAGAGTATCCGGTTTATGGCAACACGCAGGCAGACACATCTCCTGGACGTCCCGGGAATGTAAACTGCACAGCAGCAGTGGGAGGGGTCCGACGGGTTGCAGCCAGGGGGCTTTTGAGGGGCGACCTCTTCGATAGCTGAAAGCCGGAGAATTGAGGCGCCCCTCTGCCCTGAAGGTCCTGCCGCTGAGTGACCGCATGGTACAAGTGCTGCTGACTGGGACAAGCGTTGGAGATCGGGCGAAATAAATGATGACGAGCAAGGCCGAATGGCCAACAACAAACTGAGTCGGGTTGAAGCGAGCATGAAGATATATAAAAAAGCTGCCCCCTCAAAGAGCGACAGGAAAGCGAGCGGGGGAGGGGTTCCTCCCAAATGCATAGACGGAACACGGACGGAAAGAGGGGGGAGCAGAAAAATAAACGACTAAAACTGTTTTAAGAAACTTACCAGAGCGCAGAAAAGCGTTCGGGCGAAGATCAGAGACTTTAGCAACTTTTTTGAAAAGTAAACAAATCCAAAAAGATGGCGGGGAAGAAACCGGAGAAAGAGAAGCTGTTGAAACAAAAACTAGGGGGCAGTCCTCGAACCGATGAGGTCACTGAGCTCTCAAAACTCTTGGCTGACTCCCTGCGCCCCCTGCTGGATGATATCACTGGCATTAAACAACAACTGTCAATAATTGGTCAGAGTGTGGCAGCGCAGCAGATGCAACTGACTCAATCCTTAAAAGCAACAGAGCAAATGGGAGAGAAGGTGAAGGAAATGGACGTCACTACTAAAAAAGTTAAGAAAAAGGTGCAAAAGCTGGAAATGAAGCAAGCTACGGAAGAGTCAAAGCTCTTACAGCTACAAATGGATAAAGCAAATTTGGTCCTACGGTTTCAAGGGGTCCCGGAAATTAAAGGAGAGAATCTGAAGCAACGGTTAAGTGAAGCAATAGCCCCAATGACAGATTCAACAGCAGAATACCTTTGCAGCGAGATGGATGTGATCTACAGGTCCTATTCATCGTACATCAAGAAAAATAATCTGCCTGGGGAAATAGTGGTCAGATTCTCAAAGAGACATGTGAGAGATGCTATTTTGAAAGCAACTTCAGGAACACCCTTGAAAATTGGGGGCAACAATATCAGGATTTTAAAAGACATTCCATTTGATATAAGGCAGAAGAGAAAGAACTATAAAGAATTAATCCTTTTCTTACAAACAAATGGCATCAGTTACAGGTGGTTAACCCCAGAAGACGTCATTTTCAAGCTCAACGATAAAAAAGAAAAGATTGACTCTGTTTTTAGAGCACATGAATTTCTGTGGACACAGCTTGGGGAACCAGAAGAAGGCAAAGGGGAGGAAGAAGAAAGCAAATCTGATGGCGAGTTGGACTCGGGGTCTTCGGACAAGGACTCCCCCTCTGAAAATGGGGCGGCTGCCCCCAAAAGCTCACATAAACTGAGGATTAGGAAAGATAAGAATAAATAAGGGCTGAAGGACTCTGATTTGTGCCTGAAAAATGTTGAAATAACTTGGGGAACTTCTTTAAACAGTTAAAGGGATGGTTAAACGATAATTAATCTAGCATAACCGACTAAATTCATTGAATTATTAGTAGTATTTTGAAAATAACATGGTGATAAACTGATGTATTGATCTCCTACCCTTGGGTTTTTAGTTAGCTGTGGGTCTTTTTTCTTTTTTCCATAGATGTAGTTCCCTTCCCTATATTTTCTGTTGTAGTTTTGTAGTCTGTAAAAAAAAAAAACCTCCCCCCAAGGGGATGGGGGGAAAAAAAGAAATCAAAATGGCTGAGAAGTGGGAAGGGCAAGAAAGACATAATCGTGAGAGTTTCAAGAAGGAAGACAGAATCGGAGGAAGCAGGCCATACTCTGCCTGTCCTGAAGAAGGGATCCTGTCATGGCCGGAATGGAAGAGAGTTTTGGGATTAAAAACCAGATTCCCTGTTAGTGGTGGGAGAAAGTTCAGGAAGCGACACCAATTCTTGTATCAGTGATGGAAGAAGGTCTGGTTCAACAGGGAAGGGCTCCATGTTATTCTCATCATTGAACTGGCCCTTTGGAACCAGTCCTGCCTTCCAGACCTCCTTTTGTGAGTTAGGTCAGTGACTGGCCCAAGGTCACCCAGCAAGCTTCCATGACTGAGGATTTGAACCTGGGTCTCTCAGATGTTTCGCTACCACTCTAACCACTACACCATGCTGGTTCTCTATAAGAGGCCAAGACATGCCTAAACAGCCACTTGAATGCCCCTGGGGCACATGGCTCAGCTCCTCCTGGGGGCAACCCTGGGAGCCTGAAGAAGGTACAGAATGCTGTTGGGAGAGACACAGGCTGCAACCACTAAGGGAGGAAGGGCTGCTCCTTGGCTGGTGGTAGAGCATCACTCATAGCTACACCCCTAATGTTTGGTGCACACGGAAACCCCTGTGTGACCTTGACAGTGGCCTTAGACCAGGGTTCATGCCAAATCTGCAGGACCACCCTCCCAGGTTCCTCCTCGGCCACAGTCATGTGTCACACTCTGATTTGAAGGGGGCTGGTGGGATTCTTCCAGCTGTCATCTTAAGCTGGGCCTCTGGGCCTCCAGAGCCAGAGGGCTGAAGTGAGCTGAGATCTTGGCTCAACTTACTTTGTAGCAGTTGAGGATCTGGAGGGCGTTGCCCACAGTCATCTTCTGCTGCAGCAGGTCCTGGTTCCGCTCCTCAATTTTCTCCAGGAACTGGGCATTCTCAATCTTCAGCTGCTGGAAGTCTACTTCGTGAAGCGCCTCCCCCAGCTCTTCCTTCTGCAAACCAACCAAGAATACTGGCAGTCACTGACCAGGCAGGCCAAGGCCAAGCAGGCCCTTTAAGGACTATGAGGCTGTTTAATGCCGGCTACAGGAAATGGCAGAGTTACAAACTTGACAAGCCACAGTCCAGCTGTTTTTTATTTTGTCACCCAGTCTTGAAAGAAGACACTGAAGAAGAAGTAACTTAGTTGGGCAAAAACAAAAGGAAATGCAGTGCTTTGGCTCCACAAATATGCCGGGTGGAAAGGATTTGTGCCATTTAGGTTGGCAATCAGAAAATAGGTTCTTTTGAATTATGGTGCTGGAAAAGACTCTTGAGAATCCCTTGGACTGCAAAGAGATCAAATCGGTCAATCCTAAAAAAAATCAACCCTGACTGTTCCCTGGAAGGCCAGATACTGAAGATGAAGCCCAAATACTTTGGCCACCAAATGAAAAGGGAGCACTCACTGGAGAAGAAGAAGGAGAAGAAGAGATTGGATTTATACCCCGCCCTTCACTACCCAAAGGTGTCTCAGAGTGGCTTACAAACTCCTTTCCCTTCCCCTCCCCACAACAGACACCCTGTGAGGTAAGTGGGGCTGAGAGAGCTCTTGACAGAAACTGCTCTTTTTCAAGAACAGCTCTTATCAGAACTACGGCTTGTCCAAGGTCATCCAGCCAGGTGCAAGTGGAGGAGTGGGGAATCAAACCTGGTCCTCCCAGATTAGAGTCTGCACACTTAACCACTACACCAAACTGAAGAAGATCCTGATGCTGGAAAAGATTGAAAGTCAAAGAAGAAGGGGACGGCAAAGGATGAGATGGTTAGACAGTGTTATCGAGGCAACGAACATGAAATTAAAGCAAGCTCCAGAGCACAACAGAAGACAGGAGGGCCTGGCATGATGTGGTCCATGGGGTCACGAACAGTTGGACTCGACTGTGCGACTGAACAACAACAACAACAACAACAACAATCAGAAAATGATCCCACAGGGTTGAGAAGTAGGACCTTGCTGTATTTTTCTTACCACTATCATAATGCAGTAATTCACACACCAATTGTCATAGCACATGAGGGATACTACAATAAAGTAATTATTGGAATTTCTGCCTTTAAATAAAGGCTGTGTGCTGCTGACAAGAGCCATACACCATGCTTAAGTTTATAAAGAAACATATAAGTTTACTGAAAACAATGAAGGGAAACGTTGGATGAAAATAAACATAGAATACATCCTAGGTTCTAACCAGTACATCCTATCTGCTACATGTCTAAAACAGAAGAGTAATGGCCACTCCACTGTCCTTCTTGCTGAACACAAAAAGCCATAGACTTGTGAATACATGCATACAACATCAAAGCATTTTCTACAAACAAGATGCTAACTGACCAATAGAAAGGTTACAGGTCACTTAATTAGGGTAAACAACTCCCACAAACTTTCCTGCATCAACAACTCTACAGTTAATTCTATAATGGCTGAAATGTAAGCAACTTGAAAACTCCAACAGTAATTAACTAAATAACTAAAAGCTACTGAGATGCCTCCCCCCCACCCCCGAGAAAGCTGTCCCACTGCATTTTCTGTGCTTGCTTGCTTCCAATTGGCTTTCCTTTTATGAGTAATTCTGCCCCACCTCTATGTTAGGTATAACTGAAGCAATCTTTTCTGGATTACACATCAGAGGAGAGTGTCTCTGTGTGAGTCACTACTCTGACTTTGCCTCTTTCCAACTTGGAGATAAGCTCAGAACAGTGAGTGCTGTGACATAGAGGTTGGGCAATTGTTTTTATTTTCAGCACAATCTGAAAGTAATAATTTTTAGATGGAAGAGTCAAGGATGTCTTCCATGTGTGATTCAGGAAAAAATATGCAACTTAGCTGTTTGGGGGAATGCTGCAATGTCCAGCTGAGGGGGGGGGCGTCTTGGAGGAAGCAGTATGGTTTCTGGGAAGTGACTGTGCCATATTCAGGTCACAGGCCTGTTCCCTTAGAACTCTGCATCACTACTGCCCAGAATAGATGTCATGACAATAGCAACTGTCTAGAAAAACTGAAGGAGCCAGGAATGGATTGGGGGAAATTGTTGGTCTTGGATCTGCTGAGTCCCTGATGGCCTTGGGAAGGTATAAGGATTGGGGAACAGGAGGCCCCTTTCTTCATGAGCAAGATAAAGACCATAAAGCACCATACACATCCCTGCCTCCTTTGCCAGAGCCTCCTGGCATCGCCTTTACTAGACCTGATCCTGCTGCAAAGGGATGTGCGGGGAACTTACATAGCAAGAAACAAGAACAACATACTCTGTAACTTCACAGCTGATGCGTCAGCTGTAGACCACCATGGTTCAGAGTTAGGGTCTGCTGAAGTTTTTCTCCCACCTATTGTATTTTATCCCACCCTTCCCACAAGGAGCTCAGTGCCCCCCCCACTCCCATTTTTCCCCTCCGAGTAGCCCAGTGAGGCAAATTTAAGTGGGAAAGAATTACTGAGTGCATTTCCTGGCTGAGTGGAGACTGGAACTCAGATTCCCTATGGACCACTCTAACAACTACTCTATAGGAATGTAAGAAGAGCCCTGCTGGATCAGACTAGTCCAGCATCCTGTCTCACACAGGGGCCAACCACTTATGCTGGAGAGCCAACAAACGGGAAATGTGAAGCTGCCTTATACTGAATCAGACCATTGGTCCATCAACTTCGCTACTATCTACTCAAACTGGCTGGAGCTCTCCATGGTCTCAAGTAGAGGTCTTTCACATCACCTACTGCCTGGTCCTTTTAACTGGAGATGCCAGGGATTGAACCTGAGACCTTCTGCATGCAAGGCAGATGCTCTACCAACTGAGCCACGACCCCTCCTTTCCCTTGGGCCATCCCCTTACATTTGTCCGATTCCCCATGCATTCGAAATAAATCCACGTTTGAAGACCAAAGTTAAATTTATTATAAAGCGATGGTTAGATCAGGAACACAAGAATTGTTAGGAATGACTACAGACCCCAAAGGGAAACATAATAAAGGAACTTGAACCAGGTTATGGCGGGAATGCAGATAAAACTAGCGCCCAATTCCTTGGGAACACAACGGTTCTACAACATAAACACAAGTTCAGTTCTCAGGCATGAGATACATAATAAGCAAAGCAACGCCATAACTCCATCCCACCTCCAGCTGGTTGACCTTGAGCAGTTCCGCAGATGTAGCAAGCAAAAGAAAGTAAACACCTACACAGGAGGATACAGGGGGTGGTGGTGGACAGAGTACAATGTAACATGGAGAAAAGAACACACCACCTTATGGCAGCTTGCTGACATACTGCCCACCTGAAAATACACTGTAACCACCTTCTCCTGGTCTGGGCGGGAGACCTCCCGGTTTGTCCGGGAACTTCTTGTGGAATTCTCTGAGCATGTAAGGGCCCCTTCTTCCACCCATTCCCGGTGCTGGGGCCCGAAGTCCACCCACTCAATCAGGTAAAACAGTTTACCACATCTCAACTTAGAATCTAGAATGTTAGCAATTTCAAAATGTTCTTCTCTCTCCACCAACACCGGAGGAGGGGACACCTGTGTGGACCTCCACGGTGATTGACCAGAGTCCTTTTTGAGGAAGCTCATATGGAAAACTGGGTGCAAGGATTTCAAGTTTTTTGGAAGGTCCACTTCAACAGCAACTTCATTAATCAGTCTACGTACTGGGAAAGGTCCAATGTACTTCCAACCCAATTTTTTGCAAGGTCTGAGTAACTTCATATTTTTTGTTGACACATATACTAAATCACCAGGCTGCAGATCCCAACCCACCACCCGACCTCTGTCAGCCTGCAGTTTGTAA